GGTTACCATTATCCTTTGATATCTAACAGAATACGGAAAATAAAACAAATATGGAATGATCGAAGAATTTCTCAATTTCTAACATGATCCAGATATAGATTTGAAAATATTATAAAGATTAAAATATTTCAAGTTCTTGAATTTTTAAATACTTGGAGTCTACGGGACTGAAATAAAACCTGAGAATAGGATATTTACGTCGTCGCGACACAGGATCTCTTCGGGTACCGGAATACTCCGTCCGCAAATGAAGCTCCAACGATGTCTTTGCCACGTATTCCAGAGTGAAACCGCACGTGCCCGCGGCAGTGCCCCGTAACAAGCATTTCCCTAGGGTCCATCCGAGCTTACCCTTCACAACATCCGGTGGAGGGAAGCCGATTGCTCACGGCGAATCCCAATATTTATGCGGGCAATGAGGCACGCCGCCATAAATATTTTATGCTCCGTCACTTTTCGAATTCAGCGCGCGCCCGAGTGAAGAATATGCGAGAAAGAGAGAGGGAGAGAGAAAAAGTGAAAGAAATATACAATGGTACACAATCCTAGAAAGCTCGTTCATCTTCGTACCGCTCGTCACGAATGATGTCCTTTCCTTTCCCGAAATCGATAGTCCTTGAATTTCTCTAGGGATACTGAATAGACCAATAAATTATACTACTTGAATTATGAAATCTTTCTTTCCAAATTTTCAATTGAATATTCTGATGCTCGTACTAAATACAAAATATTTTTAGAGAGTCTCTCTAAATAATTGTTTTTATATTATAATACTTTAATACGATAGCAGTATAGTTTTAAATATATTTTCCATTAAATTTTCACGCGTTAATATCAAATCATGAAACTTGTATTCAGTTTCCGGGTTGTGAATGAATGTCATGTTTTAAGCGGTACGAGCGTGGGACGTAAAATACGACACGCGGATCATTGCGAAAAGTGCCAACTCCACTTTTGTCGGTGACATTGTTGGAGGGATCATTACCTCTGAATTGCTTGCACCAACTACGATCACTTATGACCGCGCGTATAACGCGCGCAACGTGTAACTGGGTTACAGAGCACTGACAGCTACCGCTGATTTGATTGGTCAATTACTCGAGTTTGCCCGTTACAAAGTAGCAGCTCGGACCTGATAATTTACGGAAATGATAGCTAAAAGCATTTTAAAAAAGGGACGTTACGAAATAATAACAACTTGTTCAATTCACGTTCACCCTTTTAAAAAAATAATTTCCAGGAAATGCGTTACTATTACGGACCGTGCAGTATTTTGTTGATAGAACAGAAAAAGAAAAAACAATTACGAGCTTCGAATTCTCTAATTTGCGAATATTACTACTTAAATTATGAAATCTTTCTTAAATCCATAATTAAATGCTCTGACGTTCACGCTAATTTTATAAAATATCAATAACTCGATATTGAATAGATAAATAAGACCGCTGTACGAATAAATTAACTAAGCAAGAAGAAGCACTATTAAAATATTTTTAGATTCTTTAAACAATTTTTATATTTGTGTAGTACCCTCCCCCCCTATTTTAATATATACGATACCAAGTTTTACACAGTTATTTTTACACAGCACGATATAGTTTTATATAAATATATTTTCTATTAAATAATTCATGTGTTGATCATGAATTATTTAACGTTTAAAACATAAACAAAATGAAATGAAAATGAAATTTTAATAATTGCGATATAAAAATTTATAAGAAGAATTTTTTGTAACATTAAAATAAAAAAAGTCTAATAAAAGATCTTTTAATTCTGGTACTCACAAATGTTAATTTTTTGAAATACGAAATATTCAATAATATCTTTCGAGATAAATTTAATAACAATTTAACAGTAAAGGGATAGTTTCAGTCGATTTTCAATACGGTAATGACAGTAATACCCTCAATAATACGATTTACCATTATTATCATAGCAAACTAATTGCTTGCATCAAGTAATATTAACGTGAACCACTTTATTCGCGATCAGCATGTATTATTGCCTAGCGATGAAGAGAGGCATTTAGCATCTAGTAACTGCGTTATACATGCATGCGAACAAGCGGATTAATAAAGCAGCTTATGTCGAGTATCGATCCTATTTTTTGTAACTTCAAATTTCGAATTTAATGAATGAGAGGGGAACCGGAAAAGAATTTTTAAATATTTAAATTTTCAAATTATCTAATATTCGTAAATCGGATTTTCAAATAACAGGATCCTTATAAATTTTATAACTTTTTTAATTACAAGAATACACGTATTTGTGTGTTCTCAAAAAAATAATTAAATTCAATTCCTTGAATACTGGATACAGTTTTCGGTGTGTTTAAATTCGGATAATCCAGAGTAGGTATACACGGATCCTTCATACCTCAGGTTCACAAATTAACTTTCTGTTCCGTATCTTAAATATGCTCTGCACGTCGAGCACCGTGAGATACTCGCGTCAATATATCCTAGCAGTAGTACTGCAAGATGGCACCCGAGTTTCGCACAGAGTCCATGATTCATCGAGCGGTGAGGCAGTCCATCGGTTATGCCAATGCTGCAGTCCCTCATCCGCGGCTTACCCTTTCCCTCGCACCCTCCCGTGGCTACCGCTTAACCGTCCTCCCGTGTTCGGACAAAACGTGCCGCCCTCCGCGACATATTGCGTATGATCCCGACCGAACGGCCAGGAAGACAAATGGCCGGGATGCTAAGACATCTTCGAGCTACCTACTTCGGCCAGGATTATTTCGAGATGAAGACAGCGCCGGGCTTCCTGAATCCGGAAAGCGATGCAATACCGCAAAGAAGAGTGGAGAAGAGAGAGAGAGAGAGAGAGAGAGAGAGAGAGAGAGAGAGAAATATGAAGTTAACTTTAGGAAGTCGCGGGCAGACTTGAAGTACTATCTGCCAGGTGAAACTTATATTTTAAAGCTAGTTTTGGTAGTGGGCAAACTTCACGCGAAAATGTCTTTCCGTGTAATGTAGAGTGCACAGGACGTAATAATAAATACAAGACATCGTATAACTATATTTATGAAGGGATCGTGAATCTCCGTATTATAATTAGACAAATTCTCGGACAGATTTACGAGTTGTGGAAATTTCTGAAACTTCCGTCCTCGAAATCCCAAACTCCTTGCATATCCGCAAATTGTACATTCTCCAAAATTCTCTCTCTCTCTCTCTCTCTCTCTCTCTCTCTATCTATCTCTCTCTCTTTCCTTCTTCTTTTTTTTCTCAAATTTTAAAATTCTTATAATTCCGTTTTAATTTTAGTTTCTGAAAATTTTAGTGTTTTATACTTCCAGCAGTTTTATGACCAGACGTCGGATTCTTATGCAATCACATATTCTTTTTAGAAAGCAAAAAAATTGAGAAATAAAACCAAAATAAAAATTTATATTATTGAAGAAACATCCTAAAGACGCATTTTTGTTTGTGCATATTTGTAAATTTTGTGTATATTTTCATATTTTTGTTTGCATAAAAATCCAGTCTATTTATAACATAATTGTTTTCCACAATCCTGATGTTACCAGCAGCGAAAAAGTACGGCGCCGAAAATTTTTAGGTCGAGTGAGGGGAACTGCAGCGGAATCACAGCTCCACTGCGGAGGATATAACGGGTGAGCTAAAATGGCTCAAGGTCAGTCGGTATCGATTCCAAGACCTCGAAGGTTCACGGGGTCGGTACCGATTTGCGTCAGTGTCGTCCTATAGAGACGCCTGGCCTCGACACGAAAACGTTCCAAATTCTTAAAGGATAGCGTCTGGATGCGACTGCATTACGTCCCTCCAACGCCTACAATCACCGACCGGCGATGTGTAGCGCAGGTGCAATCAAACGACCTACTTTTCAAAGCGAGTCACGCATCAATGTAATTCTCCTTCTGTTATTCGCGGGGGAGGCCACCGTCGACGAAGGAAAATGTGCGCGTTTCTCTCTTACAGTAGACGGAGTTTCGAGTTTAATGACGACTGGAGTTTGTTGGTCGACGTCGGATCGGGAACTCTATGAATAGAGAATCGCATAACTGCCGCGTTGTCTATTCACCTTTCGAGAATTCCCCGGCTTTATATCGCACTCATACAAGTTAAATTTGTATATCGAGTTGGAATTCTCTCTCCTTGCGAAATCTAAAGATCCTACGCTCTAAGAACCTCGTTGTATAATTCTAAGGAGTTGATCCGTGTAACCATAAACTATTGAAATCTTATTTAAGTGCTAGGTTTTCGGATACTTCGTAAACTTTTTGTTTCAAATCTGTGAGATGTCAAGTGCGACCTTTTCCGGTTTCAATTCGATAAGTATTAGATATCAAAGGAGCAATGATAACTCAATTCTTTGAGTTAACATTATTTTTAACTTTCATGTATGTCAAAATGTAAATCAATTTATTTCTGTGATTGAATTATTTAATATGGATGTTTCAAACAACATCCATATTAATGTATGCACCTAGTAAAAAATAAACTAAATTTGAGTAAAATTTAATACATTTCTTGAATTAAATTGTTTAATTCCATTGTTTTCATTAAATTAATATTGAGTAGGAGAGCCAATCTATTATAGGAATGATTAAAAATAAGTCCGATTGTGAATGTAAATTGACATTATAAATTTAACAGTGTAATCACTATTAGATATTAAAGAAGCAATGTTAACCCAATTCCTTGAATTGAATGACATTTTGTTATTTTTAACTTTTCCATGTGTATCAAAATGTAAATCAATTCATTTCTGTGATTGAATTAATTATATATATATAAGAATAATTAAAAATAATTCAAATTGGATAATAATTTGATATCATGAATTTAACAATAATCGTTAATCGGCGATACATTGTTGTTTTTTATATTGAAAAACAAAAATGGATTCGTTTACGACGACCATACGAGCGACCTCGAAAGGAGGGAAGCACTCTAACAATAAGTCCTCTTCGCAAAGCGTAACTCGATATTGCATTAATGCGATATACGGAGGATTTTGATGGCGGACGAAGGCCAAGTCGGCTGCAATATTTCGTCGTTCCGGTGTCATATGGTGAGGAACCCAGGGGTATTGCGTTTCCTCGAAGGGTTACTGGCGGATTAAAGGGGATACGTTATTAAGAAATAGTCGTGGTGTCGCTTTTCAGGAAAGACTGCGCCTGACTTACGAGAAACGTGTGACAAGGTAAACATAATTACCTTTTAGATCTGCGATTTCTCGTGTTGTGAGTAAATATTTCATGAGTTACAAGATCTTTGAAGTTTGGATCCTTTGGATCTTTGAATTTGGACAGCTTTTATTAAAAAAGCGATTAATACTTGAAAAATATTAGAACATTAGTAGAAGACACTTTCAAAATGACGAATTTTTTCTTCTAAAGAAGATTTTCACGATTGGCGAAAATATTCCCGAATCGAACGATTCTTCGAAAAATGATCATTTATAGATTTCGAGATTTTCCGAGCTACGAATTCATGCGAAACATACATGGGTATTGCAAATCCTCATATAGGCATGAAATCAAACATCAATGCGATGTGCTATGTGTGCTATCAACCGACGTGTAGAGAGTTAATAATTCATAACGCCTCATACCTCGCATCAAACCGTGATCCATCGGCAAGTCGGGTGCATGACTACTTCATTACAATGTAATAAGCGTATAGCCGGTCCGGTCGATGTTCTACTAAACCAGAACCAGAAACAGTGAACTCGAACGGAGTGAAGTCGATACAGAGCGAGCCAGCGAACGAGCAACGGGATGAGTTCGGGCGTAGGACTGCATAAAGGATGAAAGGACGATTCACCGAAACTCCGAAGTGCCGCTCGTATATAAGCCTCGGCTGTATTGTGTCTTTCAAACGATGATATTGGCACTACAGCATTAGCGTATCGGGCCAACTTTGACGACCTGTATCAGTGTCGGTGTTCGTCTCCAGCAGTGCTAGCTATTTACGCGACAAATTAGTTTACTTGTTCTTAGAGCGAGACAGACATCATGCCTGTCATTTGCAGTTGCTTGTAATTTACGGCCAATTAAATTGGCTTTGAATTCAGGAATACTAGATGCGCGCAACTCCGGAGAGCTTGTAACCTTTTTCTTGAAAATAGGTTAAGGCCGGAGCACAAATATTTGCATAATGCATAAAGTATTAAAAAATCGACCACTCAGAGTCTTTTATGTCATAAAAAGGAAGGAAATGAAGAACTGATAGATTCATTTTCTTACACATTTTGTGTTATTCAAGAAAACACCCTTATTGTTACGACATGTCGTGTAACACTTTTCAAGAAAAATTTTGAAGCAATAATTTCTTGGAACAATCGCGCAAAAATGAAATGTCAAAAAATTAATTGTTAATTTACTCGACCACTTAAGAACTATTTCACGAAAAATCTTTCTTTCTCGTCGGAGATCCGTTTCGTGTCGTTGGTATTTAAATTCCGCACGGCACAGAGAGATAAATCGCAGCGTAATTACCTCATTTATGCAGCCGACCTTTGTACAGAACATGTCGCACCAGAGACGCACCCTCCTTGCAATTACACCAAGTCCAAGGTATTTTATATTGCATTAAACCAACAGTTAAAAGTGTAACGAGATAGCAAAGACCAAAGAGTCCGATGTTTCAAAGATTCTGCGATTTCTTTACTTTCCAGGAAGCGCAGGCGATGCGCCTCGCGATTAAATTTAAACGGAGCAAGATATAATTGGAATAGAACGATTGATCGATGACGCCCATTTCGTGGGGACTGGACAATGATATATCTCATACAGACGCGGTCATTGATCTAATTAATACCGTTCGCTGTACCATTAGTGCGTAGTATAGCTGCGGTGCAATCGAATGCAGATCGAACTTAATCAGCAAATGTCTGCGCGACGATGCGGATACGATGCGGTGTTACTAATTAGGACACACACTTGCCGGCGATCACGCACGCTGAGAAACAAGAAATTCTCATTCTTGATACTTTGCAGATAAATAATGAAGAAGCGGAGCGGAACGAAAGAGGTGGCCATCATCTATATATAAGATACATCTTATCCTCATACGAAGAACGCGCAGTTAGTCCACGCGGAAGTTTTATTATACGCGGAAGAGTAATGTCGACAGCCAACACCGACGAGGCGGTAATAAGATATATTTTTCAACGTGCGCTCTCGTGCAGGTTTCGGCGGCGCCGAGTGCTACCAGCGATTTTATTTATGACGGGTGTCTGCTAGCCCTAGCAGATACTGCCATGCACGTACCCTCTGAGATGGTGTCCGTATAACACAGTTACGTATAAACGTCCGTAAATCATAAATATAGGAATCGGTAGATAGATAAACTTGTAAAATTCACGTTTGACAGGTCACGAGTCTATAAGCATATTTCGCATCAACGAAAGTTTATGTTTCTAAAAATGCAACTCAATAGAAAATATCTCCGATTTTTTATTTGTGAATCTACAATTAAAATAATTCGTGAAAAATGCAACTCTAACTATAACCATGTGTTTTTATCGAATCCTAAATCTAGAAATCCAAAATACAGCTTGAATTAAAAATATTAAGCACTTTATTATCATATTATTTAACGTTTGTTTAAAAATTGATTTGACATTTACCATAAATTTTATCCTTTGTTTCAAGAACCGTTTAAACTTATGTATAATGCCAGTAATTAATAGGAAACAATAAAGTAAAAGAATTTTGAATTACAATATAGGTGCCTAATATTTTTTGCCAAGGATGTACGTTGTGTATTCAAATATAGGAAGATATCCGTTAAGTGAGAAAAATTCAAAAAGATATTTTTGTGTTCACCAAGATAAATAAAACTGTATGAGGTGACCAAAAAATTATTTTCACCAGAAAGTACAATCACGGATATTCTATGATTAATCTAAGGATTTATTTAGGATACGAAGCTTTTAGCAGTAGAACCGTTTACATACGTAGACAAGCTGGTAAATCTAGAGACCGGCTAGACAGCTGGCCGAAAGCAAAGCTGTTAGTAAAGCAAACTTCACCGGGTTGAATTAAATTAATGCGCGGCACGGCGCTGCACGGCGGGAGTATACTGCAGTAACGAGCATGCCCAAAACGCGGCGATTATGTGTAAAACTTCGGATTAAGATGTAATACCACGCTAAGGAACCATCTTCCTAGCCACCCTCCATTTTTTATGACATGAATAATTACTTGAATAACTCCGCAAGTACTCCTTGGTGGAAAACAACGAATATACGCTGTTTCTCCTTGTACAAGCTAATCTACAAGGCATGATAAATTTATCAACGACGAAATGAGTTTATCGATAACGACGAGTGAATTTGTTTTAACCAGATCGATTAGTTGAACGCTCGAATCTCGTGACTCTCGTCTTTCTCGTCGATAGTGTCCCCATCACCGATCCCTCGCTCGCGTCCTTCCCTAATATCCTGGATATTAAATACCCCTGCCCGAGCGGATAACACATCGCCCCGAAATTCCCCGGCGAGGCGAAATTCCTTGCTCGCCCAGCCGGGAAAGAGACTGTAAAACGAAAAAGGACAAAAGCTAGCAGAAACGAAAGGATTATCCTTCCTTACTTTCTTCCTCGAATCTTGTTTCTGTCATGTCACTATAACTAGATAACTGTATAATAATCGAAACAATGCATCATTAAAATGACAAATATTTAATTGAAATGATATTAATGCGAGAATACACAGAAAGAACGATTCTGTTGAAATATCTAAAATTAAATTTTGGAAACTACAGATTTAAAAATAATTCGTTGGACATCAAAATAATTTCGTAGGAAATCATTCTTTCAGTGTAATGGGGATACATTTTTACAGGAAATATTTATGTTATTGAACTGTTACTATTGAACGCGAATTCATGAATTTTAGAAGTTTATCTATCTATCGATTTCTATATTTAGGATCGAGTTTATGACTTACGTTTATACGTAACTATTATATATACGTATTAGACTGTCTTGAAAGGTACGTGCATGGCATTTTCAGCAATTAACGATCGTATATAGAATTTCATAGAGGTCGGTCTTTTCGCTAACAATAAGAACCTTCCAAATTTATGAACGTTAATAGTCGTTGTGGCGTACCGCGTATGCGAAGTTACGTTGAATGGCTCACGTTGCTGTCGTTCCTTCCAAGAGTAACTTTGCGACTTTTACAACTTCAGCGAGGCAGTGAGAAGCAACATATATCGCCAACAGGCGAAATATCGTTAATACGATTAAATAGAGTAGCTCACGCACTTAACCCAGTCTTGCACCATCTTGGAAACATGCTACTATTCTTATGATAACACGCGACAACATCTGAAAATGGGACGTTGCAAAGTGGATCTTAATCGCATTTGAGGATTGCATAACGCTCATATGACATTTTTTCATGAAGTCATCTTAAAACAGATGAGAAACCGTAAAATTTCATAAATACAGACCTATATGTAACACACGCGTGTTTGTGAAATTTTATGTAAGACGGGACTGTGAAAATATAGTCAAATATAATTCACTTAGTTCTGATATATAGATATACTAACTTAAATAATAAAATAAAGCGAAACTGTGCAATTAAAAAATTTGTGTTAAATTTAACACATTTCATATGTCCCAAACAGTTATATAATAAATTTTTATATTAATTTAACAAAAGATGAATATTAGAAAGTAACACAAATATTATGTAAAAAATTAACACAAAAAATATAACGCAATTTGTAAGTAAATTATGAAAGTATATTTCTTCAGTAAAACTAATATTTATAATACGTTAAAATAACATTTTATTCATTTACCCTAGAATTTAAAAAAACATTTTTATGTTAATTCTTTACTTATTTATACATAATATATATTTTAATACTAAAAAAATGTTGAATTTAACACGAAATGTTCAAATAACACAATTACATTATGTTACATTAACATTCGGACATATTAAAAATTCAATACAAAAATTTTAACAAAAACCGATTTTAACATAAATAAAAAATGTTTTTTAATATGTGAATATAAATTTTTTAATGAAGCTATATATAAGTTCTTAAGAAAAGTGCTAAAATTACTAGGTCCACGTGTCGATAAAATTCCGGATCGCTGCGAATACGAAAATAATTATAAGTTTTTTTAATGAGCGGACATTTTAATGTGCGTATTATTAACGAGGATCATTAATGAGAGCCAGTATGCGAATTTCGTAGGTAAAGGCCGTGGGGAATGATGAGTGTGCGAAAGTTCTGCGAAAAGAGCTTCACGCTATCTCGGTAGCGCGGTTCATCGTTTACCCCTTGCGCTCGGTACCAGTGGGAACTCTTGAGTCACGTTTCTCGTTCCCGGGGACAGAAATCTTCTCCCAAGCTCTAGACACGTACGACATATAACCAACGTTTCGCCGGTTTTCCAACTTCGAGGACGAGTACGCGCGAAAGGGGATCACGCAAGGGTCGGGCCATAACCGGACGAGGATCCTTGACGCGATCGTAGAAAGAAGGCCGGAATCCGCTTTTCTACGACGGTGAAAACCTTCGGAGACTCTTTCATTCTTCGTGTAACCCCGTAACCCTCGCATCATTACGACGCATTGGGGATGCTAAACTTTTCCGGGATGTCTGGCTGCATTTGTTCCCTCATTGCAGTCGTACAAGTTGCAGCAGGACGTTCTCTTCCCCTCACTTGACTCCCCGAAAGTCAAAGAATTAAGCGTCATTCGCATTCGTTTATCGTGCTTGTTGTAACTCTTTTATACGTCATTCATCGATTTCTCGCGTCAAGTGCTTAAAATGTGAACTATTTATTAGCAGTGCTTTGTACGATTACTTTTTTTTGCGATGTAAAAGTGTTCACTCTACAATAAAATTATTCAAAAACAAATGCAAGGAGTTTCCATTGTTTTGATACATTGCAATTTTCAAATAGAATACGATACGTAGATTTCGACGAAATGTTTTTCTTTCGATTGAATGCGCGATGCAATTTACGCAGAA